ATTATGTATTTTATAAAACGTTTGTTTGAACATAAGAGGGTGGAACTCAGACGAATATGTGTGAGCACCGAAGGCAACTGTTCAAAATGAATTAATATTTCTCTGCTAAGCATTAGATCCTTTACAAAAAATAGTAAAAGCATCACCAAGACAGAGATAAAGTTATAACCAAGGCTCAGAACTTTAGGCATTTGCATATTTCAGATATAAAAATTGTTGTTGCATAATTTTGCATATTTTGTTACTTTTTGTACCAATTCGCATATTTTGGGTTTAAGAACATTTATATGCATATTTCATGGATTTAACAAATTTTTTTTAAAAAAATATATAGTTTAATAATAAAATATTAGATATATGAAAACCAAAATTCTAAGTTTTATATCATATCACAAAATAAATTAATTCATCAACTGCTATTATTTGTATTGCTCCAGCTCCCAATGTATTTAACAATAATATTATAATCTCTATAGTAGGTACCAAGAACTCGCAATAGTGACCATCGCTGGCCCGTATTTATTTTAATACAAATTTATCACTGTATTAATATTTTGTAACACGACAAATTGTATAACCATAGGTAATTCGTAAACAATTATGTTTAACCATTAGGTTAACAGCTTATACACAATATTATTTCTGTTTGTTATAATACTGCATACATTTGCATGCAAGCAACTTTATTGTACAGTGTACACTAGTCAGTATATTATTTTTTAAGCAATTATTTTTCAATTTTTTAATGCATTAAGTGTAGAACCTTGGTTATAACAAAAGATTATATATTTTAAAAATCATTAGTTTGAACATAAAACAGTGGAACTCAGACAAAAATGTATGAGCACCAAATGCAACTGTATGCCAATATAATTAACTTCTATAAAACATTTAATTCTCAACAATTAAATGAATAGTTAAGGAATAATCAAGATCTAGAGTAAATTATACTTTTCATCTTGCTTTTTTAAGATCTTAATAATTTAATTACCTAAAAAAATAACCCCCCAAGAATTTAATATTTACCTTCTTCTGCATTCTGAAGCCATTCAATAAATTTTTTCATCTGCTCCAAAAATGTTGTTTTACCCTTTGAGTGTCCTTCCTTGTACCATTTCAAAATTACTTCTTCTGTCAAAACTTCAGCTGTAATAATTTAAATTATCAATATTACATTTCTATTATGGGTCAAAATATATAATATATTTACTCACTTTTATAGAAGAGTAGTATAATTTTTTGGAAGACTCTCATGAAATTCATGTTCTCATAACAGTATTCTTGTACTTTGAGCATAAGTGCCAATTCGGAACGTGCAGTTGTTGAAAAAGCTAAAAACAATGGAGAATATTGCTTCAAATGTTTAAGCGCTTGGTCTGCAAGTAATTCTTCTTTTTTATTCCACTCAACTTGTCTCATTACAACACTCCATACCTAAAAAAAAAAAAAATAATTTTAATTGTATTAGTTAAATGTTTTAATCGAATAAGATATAAATTTATCATTTAATTATAATTTTTGTTGAGTCTCATGAAAAATCAAGTAATATTTGCTTATGAGTAAATAAATATATGCAATATGCTGAAATATAATGAATAAAGTTAATAATTACCAAAACAATAATTTCATGTTCAGGAATATCATGCTTAGAAGACAATTCTTTAATATTTGAAATAATTTCTTTCATATTTTTGTTGTCATTAAGGTCGTCATGTAGTTGAATATCTAAGTTACGTTTAGCTTCCTGACTGGCTTGAGCTAAATGTAATTTAACCACATCACCCAATCCTTTTTCTTCAAATTGCGCACGGAGATTTTCTTCAGTACGTTTGTTGGGAGGTAAGAAATCCATTAACCGACTTTCAAGTCCTCCTTTCTTTAAAACTGTCAGTAAATGGGTTATGCCTACCTCTTGTTTATAAGTCACAAAAAGTTCAATAAGAAATTCTAATGCCAAGCCATCTTTAATCAAATGTTCCTAAAAAAATATTTTATAAAAATTTAATTTATAACAAATACAGATAATAAATTCTCAAAATTAAATTTAAGTTTAGACTAACATTAGTCAGCACTTGAAGAACAGTAGGAGGAATAGAACCGTTGGAAATCCACAATGTAGTCATACGTGCCAGTTTAACACGTTCAATATCACTAAAACCTTTAATGAACAGCAAAATTTTTTTCATCTCCTCCTCGAACATTTTTTCCAGGTATTTGTATCGACGCATAAGTTTGATGAATACCTGTTCATAGTTTCGCATGGATACCATGTCTTCAGGTGCATCAAAAACACATGCATTTGTCTTCCACAGTTTATCCCCATCTTGTGATATTGCTCCATCTTGAGATATAGATCCACCCGGGACTAAACAAAATTATTTATAAAAATGTATATAAGTTAAACCAATAATAATTTCTATCTTACCTAAAAGACCTCCAGCAATTAGAATATCAAAGAGAACTTCACCGTAGCGACGATAATCAACTTTAGAACCAGCTTGATCAAGGAACTTCCATATTGCTTCTAGGTCGGTGTCAGCACTATTGAGGCCTCCAAGAATATAATCTCGGAAGCCAAAAGGATCATACTTTTCTTTTTCATCTTCAAACGAACAAAAATAGAACATTAATATATAGTTTATTAATTACTATAAAACAAATTTTATTAAACATGTCTATACCTCTTTTTCTGGTCTTGATGCGTTGACCTGACAGTACCGGTTTTTCTGTTTTTTGACTCATACAACAACTCGCTAAAAAATAAAATTTATAAAATAAAAAAAATTAAGCTAATTAAATTTAAACAATATTGATATGTAATACTACAAGGTAAAATACACAAAATATATAAATTTACATACGTTATATAAATAAAATAAATGTAGACTTAAAATTAAAATTCTATAAAAATTAAAATTTATATTTTAAAAGGTTAATAGAAATTTAAAATAATTTTCTTTTTATATTATTGTTAGAATGAGATTTATTGAATTGCCAAGACAATAGAAAAAAAAGTATGTAATTAGGTAAACTAAACTATTTTTTCAATTTTTTTTATAGAGATAACAAATACATGCAATAATACATAGGACACATATTAATAGGGAAATTAAAAAATTGATATTTAGATAGGTTTAGGTTTTTAATAATTTTATTTCTCCAATTAAATCAATGGTGGTATTTAAATATAATTAAAAAAAACCTTCCTAGGAGTTAGATAAATAATTTTAAAGAGATAAACTAAAATTATTGATCTATAATAATTAACAGAACTTAAGTCAAACAATGGTAGACATTAACTAATATTAATTAATGCAAATTTTAACGTTAACACATTTACATACTATTTATACATTAATACTAACAAGTAGGTACCTAACTCAATTTATGATAAAAATAATGGTAGCATTAAAACTAAAATATCTCTAAAAACCACAATAATTCAACATCAACATAGTAAACGAGTAAATAAGTTTGAATATTAAGGCAGCCGACTAATATAGGAAAATAATTCTGGCCTAGAGATTTAGACAAATATAGCAATTGTTATGGAAGTTTCAACATTTTAGAAAGCACTATATAATTGGATGCCAAGTTTGAGTCACCTTGGAGGTTTAAGAACATTTTATGTATGGTCCTAAGTACAATAAATCTGGATAGAAAAAATTGAAGTGTCAAAGGCTAGGAATAAAACGTTGTCTAGATTTTAATGCATCTTGTAGCAAAGCAGAAAAACAACTGTAATCAAATTATTTGTAGCCACTCAAGACAAAATAATACACAATACAATCAAATGGTGGTTAATTATGGAAATAATAAAGAATTATAAGATGCATCAGGTAGCATAACATACACAAGATAATACTCCCACCTAGATCACCTTTTAAGTCTTCCTATATAATCGTTTTTATAACATAATATAATATATCTTATTCAAAGCCATCAAATGTAAAAATATCTGATACCAAAAATATCATATTAAAATAAAAATAATATTTCATTGCATTAAACAGCGTAATGGTTGATTAACTATAGAAATAAATATATTTTAGTTATAAATCCTAGTAAAATACTATATCCGATTAAGTACAATTGCTAAGAAAAAATTACTTTTATTTTTGAAATTTTTAAGATGAAACTGTACAAAGAAAAATAATATAATAATGAAACAAAACTTGACCAAATAAAAATTGAAGGAACATCATTTTAAAAGTAATTTAAAATTAAGACAATTTGTATGTGTAGTTGCATCGTACATATTTTCTTAGAACTAAGAACATTTTTTTGAAGAATATTTTAAGGTGTTATTTTGAAATAATATATTCATCACATGAATATATATTAAAAATTAAAAGTGATAAGAACTTTAATATAACCTTAAATTATATTAATATAATAAAACAAGACTTTTGACTAGAATATTAAATTAATTTAAAAATAAAAACTAATTTAACTATGACATAATAATCTATAATTATTCCAATAAATAGACAGGGATACAACATACACAAATCTAATCTATTATCTAAATATTATCATAAAAATAAACGATTGAAGAAAACTTCATAAATTATAAATAATATGTTATTGCGAGATAGTATGAATTTAATAGTTGTATTATAATAAGTTTTAAGAATTATTATATACTAAACTATGAATGTTATATAGAACATGAATAATATCAAAATAATACATAAAAAAGAAAAAACATGTCACCTACTTAACCAAGAAATTAAAATAATTTAAAGAAACTGTATTTTAATCAACCCATTATGTTAATATAATGAGCACAAATGTTGTTAAACACTTTCACAATCTCTTTTTCTCAAGATCAGTGCTATTGATTATAAACTATGTGAAAAATAACAGTCAACAAGTAAAATAGATATATATACATAGAAGAGATATGCATGAACTAATATTGGATTTGTTTTAGCTGGAACGGACAGTAAAAAATTAAAAAAATCTGTAATCGACAAGAATCTTTACGATTACACGGGTATGAAACAAAATACTAAGAGCGATACGCGTACGGTATGAACCAACAGCCCAGTTTAAATGCAATCAACAATGCAGTTTGTTGTATCAGTTGTAACGAATAGCGTAAAAGCAACTAAGTAAATAATGGACCGGTCGATCGTCGAACATTCGGTACGAGAGCCATTGATGAGCGTGGAGGAATCGTGTCGCAGCGACCATGTGACTTGGGAAACTCGTCAAAAGGTGGCTGGCCACCTAGGAGACGAATAGCCGACCACCTAAGAATTAGGTGGTCGTGTACGGGATGATTGAAACAATAAATGAGAACGAACGGTGATCGAGGAAACAGTGTCAAGGCCGTGGCCGCAATGGGACTTGGCGGAAACCGATTTTAGCACGGCAAACGTAGTCGACCCACAGTTGCCGATTACGGTTTCGAATCGTTAATAGTACGGACATCGCTCCCGGGGGAACGGAGAACATCAACCCCGGGGGCGATGGTGCGACAACGTGACAATCGCGACGCTGCGCGTTCGCAACGGCGTACGGTGCCGCCGACGCCGGACACGCAGCGATCGGGCGGTGAACGACGCGGCATGTAGCAGGCCATTAGAGAACGCGGCCACGACGAACATAAGTAATCAAATGTGTTGGATGTACTTACAGAGATACCTGTTGGCGACGCACAGATGAATTTGGAAACGGGTGAAACGTCAGAAAGAAGTGGCACTGGACAAGCAAGAAAGATGAGAACACTAATGATCGTGCTATTGTATGCGTTGTATGTTCCTGGCTGTTGGTTGGCTACACATGACGAACGAAGGCCTCGGGGGCCGGCGGGGTCGGACGGGTGAGACTCATGGCCGACGGGGCGGAGGGGTGGTGTAGATCGTAGTTACGCATCCCGTTAATCCCGAGTCCTGGAACCGAAAATCCAAAACGATCACGAAATCCGTGTAGGCTCCTATGACCGATGGGTCGGTGGCCAGAGATTCGAAAATTTTACGAAAAAATTTTAAAAACCAAATTAATCCGGTTACAGTGTTGCCAAGTCGCGCGCGACCGGACCGGGCACGGTATTGTTCTGCGGAGGATTATCGTGCGCCGTCGGTACTGCATCCGTCCGTCACACGGTCGGCGGGCGGTAGAGTTCGGCACGATTGTGTGACGTGTAGGAGGGCGACGATTTCCACGTACCTATATACAAATTGTAGACAAGCGATTCCCAAACTTTTTCAACCACGGAGAGAGACGTATTTAGAGGGAGGCAAGCAGGGCTGTCCTGAAGATTAAAATCATGGGGGGTGAATAATATGAAAAGTGCCGACTATAATTTTTTTTACTTTATTTTACTTTATTTTACTAATTTAATGTATGTAGTATAATTAACTATATGTAGTCGTATTTTTACTTTTTAACATGTGTATATGTTTCAGTATCGCTCGTTCTTAAAATTGACAATTGAATTATATAAATATATATATAATTGTATAATAAGTTGTTGTATACATTTTATTCGTGTATACACTGTATTCAAACTTGGGTAAAATACTTTATACAAAATGTATTCCGAATAAATTATTTAGAATTCTTCTAAAATATTTCTAGTTTTCATACTATAAAAATAACAATGTCCACTCAACAGAAATATTTGAAATTGTAGGTTAAATATATGTTATTTTATTGTATTTTTATATTACATAACTGTTATAGTTTATGGTTTACAACAATAATAAATACCTGATATTAGCTTATACAAGATAGGGTATAGTTAATACCTAGTAAGTTAATAGTAATAAAATCATTTAAAAAATATGATTTAGCGGTATTCCAAATACAGTATTCAGAATACTTGTTATAAGTATTCAAAATACTTTATTGAATACTTTCAAAAAAAGTATTTAAAAAATATTCTGAATACAGTATTTCGAATATTGTATTCGGAATACTACCAAAGTCTGACTGTATTACAATTCATTTTTTAACTAGTTACCTAGGCGCAGTGGCGTATTTACGGGGGGGGGGGGCGGTCTCGACCCCCCCAGAAAAAAATTTAAAAAGTCAAAAAAACTTGGTACGTAGGTATCGAGAAAGAGAATATTAATTTTATATAATGAGTTTTTACTTTGGTTTAACTTTTGGTTATTCTTGTCGCGTCGTTTGATATTGAAATTAAAATTCCGAGATTAACAAAAAAACAAACTAATAGATGCAATATACCATTAAATACTCCGGAACAATATTATCGAGCATCAATTTTTATTCCTTATCTTGACAAATGTATTACAGAGTTAGAAGAAAGGTTCAATGTTCATCGATCGATTTTATCAGGTTTCGATTCTCTATTTAGGGAAAATGGTCCCATCGAAGATATTATAATTCTTTCAAATAAATATATTGAAGATTTGCAGAATGATGGATCTCAAAATCAAATTATTGAAGCAGAATACAAATTATGGCAGAGAAAATTCATACAAACAACAGAGAAACCAAATAATGCTCTAGAGGCTATGGCTATGTGTAACCAGTCAATTTATCCAACCATATTTAAACTTTTTCAAATCTTAGTCACGCTACCTGTTTCTCTGCAACAAATGAAAGAACATTTTCAAATTTAAAAAGAATAAAAACGTATCTAAGGAATTCCATGTCAGAGGTAAATTATTATAATTGTTGTAGTGTTGTTGTAGGCTATTATATAGTAAATACATTTAAACGAATCAATATATTTGAAAAAAATGGTAATTACGTAACACGTATAGTTATTATTACTTGTATACGAGCAGGGGCGTTAATTCAATTTTTTTTCCGAATGTGCAAAATTTTAGGCAGGCCAATTATGACGTTTCACCAGGCCACAAAAAAAAATTATTTATATATAAATGTAGGTAACCTAAGCAAACCTATGTAAATATATTTTCTTTCCCTTTTATAATTCTAATTGAAATTACTCATTATGACTAATGCAACTTTTAAATAGCTAACAATTCATTGAATTAAAAGCTTATAAGACATGAAAGTAAAGCTACTAGCTACAATCATTTCACTATTATTTGAAAAAAAGGCAAAAGGTATAACGAAAAACATTTTAATTCCTAAATTAAACATTATTAATACAGGGTGCGACAAAAAGAACTCCCTGATTAATGAAACGAATAAAAACTATACCAAGTCAATTATCCGAAAAAAAAAAATTTTTATAAATCGTAAAAATAAATAAAAAATAAATAATAATAAATCGTACAAAACATCAAATTATTAATTATTAATAATTTGAAGTTGGCAGATATTTACGAGTATTACTTGCATTTAAGATAGTTTAACTAGAATATTATGAGTCTTTACATTCCTACGCAAGTTACATTATAAATTAATATACGAGTAGGTAGGTGCATTCATATTATTAAATTAAAACTTACAGTTATTTCAATTTGATTAAATTCGGCTTTCTTAAACATGCTAACTAAATTATGACAAGAAGAATCGGCTACAAGTAGTCATTTTTTTTTTTGCTTTCTCGTAGACAAGCAGCGTTGCCTTTTTTTTTTTTGGTCCATTTCTAAAATGTTATTGTAGTTATACAAAAAAGTTTCGCACACGAAACGACATACGTATATACACGTTACAAGTTACAAAAGTTGAGAGACGAAATCGCAGTAATTCGCACAAATTAATTGATTCCACAACGCATCGTTGACGAAAGCGTTTATGATTGGAGGCACCTTAGTTCACGATAAATGGTTAATCTATGAAGGTACCGATAAGTATAATGTACCTTACTAAGACTCGTAAATCAACTCCACGCGTAGTACACATTTGATAAGAAAGCTGAAAAACAAAAAATTCAACAAAAAAAAACTAGAAAAAATGTATAGGTACTATTAAATATATATTTTATTTATTATATAATATATGAAAACATAATACATAAGTTTATTATAACGGCATATTGGAGTATTAATAGCGGGCCAACCACCAAAAAATTTTAAGTTAGAGGTGTCGTTGCACATCCTGCCCTATCCCAAATGACGCCCTGGTTCAGAGGGAAGGGAGGTTAAGGGATAAGACTCAATTGTCTTTTTTTTAAATGTATTCATAATACAACTATGATTTATCAGAACTTGTATAAACATTAATTTTACGAGTTACAAGTAATTTGAATGGCTGAACCATTAAAGTCTCCTTGTAAAGTTTTTGGCTTCAAATCACAATCTCTTAATTATATTATTACTTTTAACACCGCTAACCTCTCATTAAAAATTCCTGGACATTACACTGAGCGAATTACATATTTTATGTCGACACTTTGTAACAAATTTTATATATATATATATATATATATATATATATAACCTACTGGGTATCAACATTATCATAAACACTTATATACTGTTCTCATCAGAAGATTTAATTGTTGGTACATGACATTAATTTTCGAAAAATTGTACTCCTTAGCTCTTAAAATAATAATCTTTTAACTTTTGATTGGTGTATTGAAAAAATTGAAAAAAAATTACATCATTCGCACAATAACTATTATTGGCTACTAACAATAACGCGTTGCTATGACGTTATAAATTAAATGTTTCATCTAACAATAGTTCTTACGAAATATTTGTCACATCAACAACGGAGTCGAGAGTAAACACATATAATTTCTTTTTAATATTTCCTGAAGCTATTAATACTTTAAAGTTTCAAGTCTAAGCAATTTTAATTTGTCAGTTAACTATTTTCCGCATATCCGCAGATCAGTGGTCAATTTGTCGACTTTTGTAATATTGGATTCGCCAGTCATTGGAGATAGTCTATGCCAGTGGTTCCCAAACTTTTCCCCATCTCAACACATTATTATTAGTTTTTATAAGTCACGGCACACTTTGGATAAATATTATCTACTTATCGAATAATAAGTATATAATGATCGTTATTAGGTAATAATATTATTATTTCTCGATATCGTTTTCTCGATTACGTTCAAACCACCATTTTTATTTGTATGATATATTTTAATATTTTTAAAAAAATCATTTTATGTTTTTTTATAAAAAAAAGTTCAAGTTGTCGCGGCACACCTTTCAAATTTCACGACATACTAGTGTGCCGCGGCACACCCTTTGGGAAACACTGGTCTATGCAGACATCTGTCGAGCAGATATTTCTACCAGGTAAGGTTTTTTAATCTTTTTCCAACCTTTTTAAGCCTAGATTATTAAATATTTAATAAAATAATAATTTTTAAGAAAATTTTAGGATGTATTTAAGGGTCAATTTTAAAAACTTTAGGAAGATTTTTGGGTCAAATGAAAATAAACAATTATTTTTGTAATTTTTGAAAAATTTTCTTAAGTTTTATAAACCTTATTTTTAAATAAATTATTGACAATTGCCAGATACAACATTTTTTCCTATAACTTGTTTTATTCTAGTATCCTATACTCATAGCGTATGGATACCTGTATTTAACGGACTGCCTACTATACTTTTGGGTTTTATATTAACAAAACATGTATATTTAATGAAGTAAAAAGTTCATTAGGTATATTTAATATATTATAATGTATAAATAGTTAAATAAACATAAATCAAATTTTTTAATTAATATTGTGGTTATTTGTCCCATGGATATGTTTTCCTTGAATTTAGTATATTTCTTTCAGATAGCTATAATTATTTATGATTTGTACTTTTGTAGTCAATTTTATCTGATGTATTATCATAGTAAATTTTTGCAAGAAAATTTAGTTTTAGTTTTTATTATAATATATAATAAAATATATATATTATATTATGAAACATGATTTATTTTTTGGCGAATATATTAAAATAAATTACATTTAATCTATGCAACATCAGTTAAAATAGGAATCCCTTAATTTTAGACATACATTTTAGGGGCCCTGTTTACTACATTTCTGGGATTCCCGGGCACACATATGATTTTACTCTGATAACGGATAATGTTGATTTTGCATGTAGTAAATGGCTTATATTTTTTATTTAAAAATAACAGAATATTTGTTATATTATTACAGCATAAAATATTCTGTGATTATACATAAATAGTTGAATCTATAATATAATTTAATTAGTTTTTTTTTTATTTTGAAAAATATAATCTGAATAGTTTATATACAATAAGAATTTATGTTAAATTATTAATATTATTATTTATTATTATTTAATTTGATATTATATTTTTATTATTTATGTTAGTATTTAACGAGAGTTGAAGTATATTATCATTTATAAATCAAAGTGGGTGAGGTCGATTGTGTAAACCTGTATACGTAATAAATTCCTTAATAAATTAACTTTATAGATTATAAATATATTCCGTAATAGTCACAAGACAGTCTCTCACAATTATCCTTTATTGAGGTATAAAAAAAAATATATATATTCCCAGCCTTATTGGTAGGGCTGGGTATGTTTCTCGTCTAGCGTGACGTCTTGACTAACCTCCCCACGAAGACTCACCTTGACGTCGTGAGGGGGCTTGCGTCCCTCAACAGTTCCGAGAGCTATGCCAACGGAAGTTTACTACCAACAGGGTCTCCCATGTTGGACAGGTCGACGAACTGAGGGCTGACAAAGCGGTTCTCAACAAAGGGTAGGGCGGGCTCTTCAGCCTTGGGTGGCAGCCGTCCTAGAGGAAGGAAAACCTTGATCAAAAACCCCCTGGCAGTAGGGTTAAAATGTAGTGAAGGAAATCACTTGAAAACCCACAATATGAGTTGTTATCAGTCGAGTATTGTTACCACCTCAAGGGCTTCGGAACCCCAGGGGTCGGCAGGAGTGGGTGGTTCCGGTGTCAAAACCGGTTCCAACGTAGCGGGCCCACTTCGGTCGTCATCAAGCGACCGCGAGGGTACGGGGGTGGTCGACCAGGTTCCCGTTACTCTATCCATTACTGGTACGAAGAATTGCGGGCCACGTCGACGGCAGTGAGCGACTTGGTCACCAGACGTGATCCTCACGTCGACCACCGTCGGAAAACCGCATGCCACCACTCGGGATGGTTATACCCAGACGGAGAGTCGGTGGTCCGGGGACCGAGATACCGGTGCTTCGACGACCAAGAAAATGGGAGGGATAAAGTACGCGGACGTCGGCGTTCAGGTGGATGAGGTGCCGGTGACCGCGGAAGCGTTCACCGGGATGGAACACCTGACGCTGCCCCCGAAACATGGAACATTAAAGCACTAGCTGAGAACCGTAAGGGACCATATGTTGCGTACCAATGCTGAAGATGAGCCCGAGAAGGACGCGGTTGTGACTGAGGTGGAAGAAACCGCTTTCACCTTCAGTTTCCCCAGTACGTTGCCATCGGGCCCCTCTGATGAGTCCGCCGCATTGAAGACGCTGAAACCGCAGATTGCCGCCCAAGGACATCAGAACCCGTGCCCCCCTGACGCCGTGGCGAAACCGGCCGCTTGGCGGTTCCAGCGACGACCAGTTGCGTATAAGTTGCACTTCTCGGTGTCCGCGTGCCCGGACGTGTTGGCCGTGCACGTGGCTCGGAGGTGCGCTTTCGGCACGGTCGTCGACCCGTTTTGCGGCGTCGGCCGCTTGGTCGTTCGGCTGGCGCGCATGTGCCGAAAGGTGATCGCCGTGGACATCGACTCAGCCAAAATACGGTTGGCCCACCGGAAGTCCGCAGAGCTCGGAGTCACCCACCGGATCGAGTTTCGGGTCGGGGACAGCTTCGCGGCACTATCCGAAGTGACGGCCGATGCGGTGATCACTTCACCGCCGTGGCCGGCTCCGGCGTAGGATCGAAACCGGCGGTTCAGTGCCGAAGATTTGTGCAGCCGCCAGAAAGGCGGTTTAGCCGGCATTCTCGATTTGGCGCGTGAGATCGCCCCCGTTGTCGTTCTCCACGTGCCCAAAACCATCCACATGTCTCAGACCGTGGAAGTGTCGAGAGACCATAGTTTTGGGCGCGTGGAGATCGAACACGTCAGCGTTGAGGGGTGGAAGAACTTCTCAAACGCCGTTCTGTATATATACAGGTTAAGCGAGGGCGGGGGAGCGATTGAACCGACAGTCTCCGAAGTGCTATTAAATCCGAAATCGGTAGTAATGCCACAGAGACCATATGCGTAATCGTATGTTCAATCGGCAGTAGATTGAAAACATCGGGATCTAGAAAATTCTCATTTTATATATTTTTATAAATTGTTATGAATTTTATACATTTTTATACGTTTTATACATTTTTATACATTTTTATACATTTAATACATTTTATACATTTTTATACATTTTTTATACCTTTTATTGTATGGTACAACTATTTTCAACTACTTAATTTAATTTGTCAATATTTTTGGTTTTTTTCCTTCACAGGGTTTTTTTTTGCCAATTCCATTACATATTTATTTTTTCATATTACCAAGTTTTTTCTTATTTTATAAAAATTTCCACTTTTTTTTTATATTTTCATAATTTTTACTACATTACCTTTTTTTGTGTAGAAATGCTATATTTTTATGATGTTAAAATTAGTGTTTTATTAAATAATTATTTAATATATATATATATATATATATGTATATATTTAATATGATTTGTTATTTATGGTTTTTTCTTTCTTCACAGGGTTTTTTCCTCTTAATCTCTTAATAATTATAATTATATTACATATAATTATTATATTATAATTACATTACAATATTATAGTGTTACCGAGTATTCACTTTTTTTATCCTAAATTAACAATTTTCACTTTTGATCATAATGTGTAGTTTTTTTTAATATTTTCATGAATTCTACTACCCTACGGTTTTTCTGTAATGATTGGTAATGATAATTTTTTTGTAATATTTATAAATTGAGCATGGATGTTGTAGTTGTAAGATAGTAGTAAAATTAATTACATCATTACACTAAAATACATCGAAAATCGCATTTTAAAGAATCTAAAATTGCACTAAAAAAATAATGTTTCGTTATAATTCATAAAATTACGTTTATTTTATCTTCCAATAACTTACTGCAATTTATATATTATAAATAACAAACTCATTAGCATGGCGCAAATAGGGCGATGCTTGGGGATGCTAGAGTAAAAATTAATAATTGAAAAATTATACAAAAATAGTGTTTTTCTTATTTTATGTAGTTATTTTTATTGATGCTTTTATCAAAAAGATGAGTAGTTCATGATTATTAGCATTGATTATATATTACTAGTAATAGTTAATTAATTACATCGTCATAAATACTTGAAAAATATTCCATTAGTCATCGCAAGATAATACTAGTGTGAATATTATATGTTGTATATTTTATAATATTTTTTTAATTTGTGTATTTTTTAGTACTGTATGGCGCTTAAATAAAATAATTTAATATTTGTGTAACATTTTAATGCTTGTTAATATTTATAAATTAAAATATTAGTGTATATGTGTTGTTATGGTATATTTAATGATTAAATTGAGATATAGTACTTATTGAGAGTGTGTGTGAGGGTTAGTGTGAGCTACGTAATTTCAGCACCTCCAACATTTGGGTTTTAGTTGCGCCTATGCTCATTAGTTACAATTTATAAATATGCATGTATACAGTATAAATAAATATATACTTAAAAATGTTGTTGCATTGAATTGAAACTAATTTTTTAAATTTTCAAAATCCAATGTTCTTCGGTTTGGAGGAGCCAGTTAGTTTTTATACTTCGAAAAACATCGTTCTACGTTGGTTGATGTGAGCGGAGCGTGCTTAAAATAAACCAGATCGCTTAACGTCAAATCTTCGAGTAAACTTTCTAACAGTTTTCTTTCTCCAGTCAGTAAATCATTTATTATACTTATGGTTTTAAATAAGGTATTTATTTTTTTTTCATAATTTTAAATGAAATTTTCATTGTTTTTTGTGTTTAATATATAATCTTATCTGTATGTATTGTAATCCAATAATCGCAATATGACGAAACCGATATGATTTTATAAATAATCAATTTGTCAATTAAAATAGTTTTTATTAATGAGTAAAATTAACAAAATTTATTCTATTTCTAAGATGTTGGTCTTGTTATACAAAAAGGTTCACACACATGAATTGATTCCACAACGCGTCGTTGACGAGCGTGTGGAGGCTTGGAGGCACCATAGATTCACGATAGATGGTTGATATATCGAGGCACCGAAGAGTGTAGTGTACCTCACCAACACGCTTAAATCAACTCCACGGGCCGTACACATTTGATAAGAAAGCTGATAAACCAAAAACTAAATAAAAAAAAAAACTTAAAAAAAATATATAGATACTATTATATATATATATATATATATATGTATAAAAACATAATACATAAGTTTATTATACGACACAGTATGAATGAATATGAATGTATGAATGGCGGGCCAATTGTCAACATTTTTTAAGTTAGAGGTGCCGTTGCTCACCCTGCCCTACCCCAAATGACGCCCCTGTATACAAAGTATTACAGTTCGTTCAAAGAAAATTGGTAAAAATTGTTAAAATCGAAATATAAGTAAAAAAAAAAAAAGAAATTATAGAAAGTTATTGCCGAAAAACGGTTTGAAACGTATTAATACACATATAAACGCCAGTGCACGTGACTTGGACATCGGGCAGGCCTGTTGCCAATTTCTGTTCGGCGGCATCACGTTGATGACCGTCGACGGCATGCACTTTCCCACGTGACCACACGCAGGATTCGTACGGCGCGTACCGTACGTCACGTCGCTTGGTGCGTTCCGGGCCGACGCCACTACCACCGCCATCGTGACTGATGCTTCCGCCTCTGATGGACCTGCCACGGTCGCCGCTTGCAATCAGCCCCGGGAACAGGCGCAACTAGGGGGGCTTAGCCTCCCTGAACCAAGATTTAGCCTTCCTGAAAATATTCCATGGCATACTTAACTTACAATAGTGTCATATACAAAAAAAGACACATTGCAGTAAATCCAACTTGGCTCAGAATCTAAAATAAATCAACATGGTATATAAGAGTAGGAGTAATCTACAGGTTATTTCAAGTTTTGGTAGGAGGGCTGTAGCCCACTCAGATGGTTCACCCTAGCTGCGCCTATACCTCCGGGACATATTTGCACGATGTGCGCGGCGCCCACGCGCTCCGCGCGCGAGTTGACGTTATCCTCGAAGTAGCCGCGCACAGCCCACACTACTTCTATGGCGTCCGGGTGCACGCCGACCACGTGCCCGTCGTACGCCAAGTGATTGGGTGACAGATGGCCGCAAAGCTCGCAAGTGTACGGCACCTGTCCTTCGGCGGACGAGACGTAATGCGACCGGTGCACCATGGCCTCGTGTCGTCACCGTGCACGTCGCGGCTGCACGCGGAACGCTGCTCGCACATATCGACTCCACTCGGCCTACGCTAGGACCGCAGGGCTTGGGCACCAGCATCGAGGTGCAGTCGAAAAAGTCCATCTGCAAACAACATGGACGCTAGTTATAGCGTTACGCTTCGAGGTCGGGTTAGGCACAGGAGTTGTTTAGTGTAACCTAAACAGCGATACGGTTTTGCAAAATCTCAGTTTAATGGAACATATATCTTACTGTATTCTTACGAGAAGCAGTTTTTTAACATATATTAATGAACATATCAGAAATTCAAATGTGTATTAAAAAAAGTGTTTCGACAATTTTATAGTTAAAAAAAATCATTTAATAAAAAAAAAAATGTTGCACTTTCCTAACTGCCGGGATAAGTGCAAAACCGGTACTTTTAATACAGTTTCATATCAGCTATTCCTTAGCCGGAGCAAGCGTCATAAACTAATTAAAATCTGTTAGTAAATTCCATTAAAAGAATTCAATTATTGTAATTTATCAAGATTTGACAGACTATCAAATTTTTTTTTAATGTATGGTTAATAATATATAAAAGTTATAATAGTATTACTTTTGTTTATACAAATTCAAATTTTTCTAAGCATATTTTGACTTTTTATAGTCCGTATTTGCATATATATTTTACAATTTAAAATGCATATAAATCCGATCTTTAATCATAATTAACGAAATAAATAACATAGTTGAATTGTTTAGCTGTATTAAAATTACCCAAAATTAAAATACTGGGCATTGGTTAGCGTAGTAAGACCAACAATAATGTACTCGCGTCGGGAACCTGACATCTCGGAGTGCATTACATTTTTTTAGGCCTATATTTATCAATTTAATTTTTATTATGCACATCATCATTATCATCATCATCATCATCAACAGCTTGACGGTCTATTAAGGACTTGACCTGCTATATTATATACGTGTTGTATAATATATGAGTGCGATTTATAAAATATTTCAAACTAATTTTACCTATAATGTAACCAGGGAGTGGAACCGTACTGAAAATAATCGGTTTTTAAACCGAAGCCCTTTGAATACCGGAACCTCACTAAAAACCTAACTAAAATTAATTTTAGGTAATCTATATAATATATAGTAAGAAGGATGAGTCTTGAAGATTTTTTTGATTTTCTTTATTTAAGGAGCAAAGAAGGCCCATTTGTTACAAGAAAAATAACACGGACAAAGAACCTTTTTTAATATCTAATGCAATGTGGTTACAGGTTAGCAAAGGAGAGAGTAACTTGTACTATAAGACCAGTTTTTCAAATTATGCATTTAAAACTGTTGAATTTAAAAGGAATCGGAAAGAACAGAGTTGTTATGCCACCGATGATTCCAATATTGAGAGTAGGTAACTAAAAAGAAAATAAGTAATGAGAAGTATAGAGATCTCATGAACTTAATGCAGTGAGTCCCTGAAG